AGATAGTTGGAGATCAGTTCGGTGGGGCAGGAGCAGGCGGAGACAATGGGTCGACCAGGGCATTCAGGTTTGTGGATTTTGGGAAGGAGATAGAAGCGGGCAGTGCGAGGTTGGGGAACGATGAGGTTGGAGGCCGTGGGTGGGAGGTCACCTGAGGTGATGAGGTTGTGGATGGTTTGCAAGATGATGGTTTGGTGCTCAGGGGTGGGGTCATGATCAAGGGGGTGGTAGGAGGAGGTGTCGGAGAGTTGGCGTCCGGCCTCGGCGATGTCGAGGTCAGTGCGCCATACTACAACTGCGCCTCCCTTGTCCGCGGGTTTTATGGTGAAGTTGGGATTGGAGCGGAGGGAGCGGAGGGCTGCACGTTCTGCGGGGGAGAGGTTGGAGTGGGTGAGAGGGGTGGAGAGGTTGAGGCGATTGATGTCTCGATGGCAGTTGGAGATGAAGAGGTCGAGGGAGGGTAGGAGGCCTTGGGGTGGTGTCTTGTTGTGTATCAAAGCCTCAAATTCGCAATTGCTCCAGGCTACATGCTTGGGAACCCATTTGTTCTAAGTTTCATGTTTCCTGTGAGCCTGGACAATGAGCAGGTATGACTGATCAAAGTAGAGTACTTCAAGTAGAGCAGACGTGTACAGAGAAACTTGTGCATGTTGCAATTAATCATCTGTCTTTGCTCACACTATCATCCATTTTTGATTTTATAACTGAAATCAACACTTTTTAATGCAGTTGTTTGTGGGTTTTATGAGTTGACTACTGATACATTTCCATGAAGTGAATTGTTCTGATTTCTGAACCAAACTTCTGTTTTTTTTTTCTTTTTAGCCCTAACCTCTGTCCCACAGAACACAATTACTTGTGCAAATAAACCCTGCTTCCCAGGAGTTCAGTGTTTTGATCGGAAACCACCTTCTGTTGGTTTTGCTTGTGGACGCTGCCCCGTAGGATTCTTTGGCACTGGGCGAACATGTATGAAGATCCCGCGGCATGGTGAGTTACAGTTCAGCACTCTAGATCCGTGAATACACGACAGGAGAAGGCACAGCATTATACAATGGGTACAGTGCAGGAACAGACCACTTGATTCATTGTGACCATGCTGACTATCCAAGAGCAACTCAACTAGTCCACTCATCTGCCCTTTTCCCAAAACCTTAACTTCTTGCTCTTCAATTCCCTTTTGATAGCATTGATTGAATCTGCCTCCACGACAGTCCCAGGCAGTGCATTCCAGATCCTAACCAAGTGCTGCGTAAAAAGATTTATTTCTAATGTCCCCACTAGTTCTTTTACTATTCACCTCAAATCAATGTCCTCTGGTTCTCAAATTTTCAGCCAGTAGGAACAGTTCCTCTAAGCCACTCATGACTTTGAACATCTCTACCATAATTCCTGTCAACCTTCTCTAACTAAGGAGAACAAACATGGTTGCTCTACCATACCCACAGAACTAAAGGCCCTCACCCTGGATCCATTTCCAAAAATCTTTTCTGAAAGCTTTCTTGCTCTTTGAGAGCAAGTGTACGTGACAATATGTTACAGTATTCATAATCATTTCAGTTCTCTGTGTGCAGTAACTGAAACAATTAGTCACCTTAATCTGAGCTGATGTGCTGTTAAAAACAAGTTCTTCTAATATTTTCATGCTTTAAATAAAAGGCAAAAAGAAGTTTCATCAAAGAATTTGAATACATATTGAATGGACCAAACCTTGCACCCCTCAGTCAAATATATTTCCTATGTGAAAGAGTGAATTAAAGAAAAGTACCATTAGATATCTAAACAGCATAATACCTTTGCCAAAAATTAAATGGCCATGTGTTGTTTTATTATGGCTCAGTAAATGTTAGATTTTACTTCATCTCGACTCAAATCTACGTTCTTCCGCTTGTCACTGATTCAAGAATTAATCCTGAATTTCTGAAGAAGGGTCTCGACCCAAAATGTCAGCTTTCTTGCTCCTCTGATGCTGCTTGGCCTGCAGTGTTCAGCCAGCTCTACACCTTGTTATCTCAGATTCTCCAGCATCGGCAGTTCCTACTATCTCTGTAACAAGAATTAACCCTGTTCTTTTTTGGATGGCTAGTCTGTCATTATTCACTGTCAGTTTATATTTCATACATCCTTTACTCTGAATATCGAAATCATTCCCTATTTTAAGAGATCTTGGTGTGATGTTGAAAAAGGCAACACACCACCCACCATCTTTTCGAGGATACTGAATGTCTGATTTGTCGGTGACACCTAAATCCCGAGAACGAACAAAGCAAAATTGTTATTCAGGCAAGATCGAATAGTCAACAAATCTGTCAGATCTGACAAATACCCCTGAAGACTCGTTGACCATTCAACTGTTATCTTCTGCTACAATAATAAGACATGCATGAAATACAAATGTAATTCAAATGGTTGCACAGAATTTTTTCATGGCCTGATAAGCATGGATTTCTAAAGTCACGGTGCAGGTAAGGTTTTGAGTACTAACAGCTTTACAACCCAGGGACCTTGAATCAAAATGGCACAGTTACAAATCTATGTAAACTTCGCACTCAGCGGACCCATTAAAACCAACTTCCAGGATAGATTGTTCACAGATGTTTCCCATCTGTGTTTTGAATCCACTTACTATAGTACTATGAAGTTTTTTATTTCTGTATACCACACATCCTTTTTGTTGTCACCAGTGAAATCCATTGTGCCACAATGATCTATGTTCACTATCTTGCAATTTACTTTTAATGACCACCATAAGGACGTCCAATTGCAGATTGTTGTAAATTGGTTGTGCCAGATTGTATCAGCACACTTTGTAATTGTGGATCAAATTAATGTTTTGACAAAAAATGAGATCTTACTCTAATTGCCAATTCATGATTGATATCATGTGCTGAGTAAGCAGTCATTTCAAAGCCACATATTGATCCAATTTTGTCATTGAGTCATTAGTCAACAACAAAAATTGACATTTTCACGGATTTTGTTCAAAATGGGGATTACTTTTCTTGACTTCAAACAGCCTGACCATTTCTTCTTTACCAAGTTGCTGTCCAGCCAAATGAAAAATTGATCCTCGTCCAGATGTGGCTAAGCTGACAGTACTCTGAGTCAGAAGGTTGTAATTTCAATTTCCCTCTTCAGGACTGGAACATGGAAATCTAGGCTGATACTGCAGTATACTACTGAGGGAGTTCTTTCTTTTCATGGCAGTCACTGGCAAGACCAACATCAATTGCCCATCCAGCGGACAATTATGGCATATTGGGAATTGTGTTAGAAATTTTTGTTGCTATATAGATAGCCACAATCTGACCGAAGTAAGTATTGGTTTGATCAGCTTGAGTGTCAGCTGGAGGCATGAGGTTGAGAGTTGCGTTGATATCATATTTTTGGATGTAGTCACCACAGATTAAAGAACCACATGCAGAGAAGGAATGGGTGGCCACCAGTAAGAAGAAGGGAGACAGACAGGTAGTCAAGGAAGCCACAGTATGCATTTCACTCAAGAACAGTTTTTCTGTCGTGGAAACATGTGAGAACAGTGTGACACAGGTAGATATGCTCAAACAGGTGGATGTTAGGAAGGAGGATGTGCTAGAAATTTTGAAAAACATGAGGATAGATAAGTCCCCTGGGCCAGATGGGATACACCCAAGGTTTCTACGGGAAGCAAGAGAAGAGATTGCTGCCCCTTTGGCAATGATCTTTGTGTTTTCATTGTCCACTGGAGTAGTGCCAGAAGATTGGAGGGTGTCAAATGTCATTCCCTTGTTCAAGAAAGGGAATAGGGATTATCCTAGAAATTACAGACCGGTCAGTCTTATTTCTGTGGTGGGCAAATTATTGGAGAGGATTCTGAGAGATAGTATTTTTGATTATTTGGAAAAGTACAGTTTGATTAGAAATAGTCAGCATGGCTTTGTGAGGGGCAGGTCATGCCCCACAAGCCTTATTGAATTCTTTGAGAATGTGACAAAACACATTGATGAAGGTAGAGCAGTGGATGTGGTGTTTATGGATTTTAGCAAGGCATTCAATAAGGTTCCACATGGTAGGCTCATTCAGAAAGTAAGGAAGCATGAGATCCAGGGAAATTTGGCTGTCTGGATACAAAACTGGCTCTCCAATATGATGCCTATGAATCCTGTTTACTCAGAGATTGGTAGGGGCGTGGGATGCATTGCCGGAGAGGGTAGTGGAGTCGGCCTCATTAGGGGCATTTAAGCGGCTATTAGATAGGCATATGGATGATAGTATAAGGTAGTGGTGGAGGTTAGATAGACCTTAGGTTTAGGGTAAAAGTTCGGCACAACATCGTGAGCCAAAGGGCCTGTACTGTGCTGTACTGTTCTATGTTCTAATAGAAGACAGAGGGTGGTAGTAGATGGAAAATATTCAGCCTGGAGTTCGGTGACCAGTAGTATTCCGCAGGGATCTGTTCTGGGACCTCTGCTGTTTGTGATCTTTATAGATGACTTGGATGAGGAAGTGGTAGGGTGGGTTAGTAAGCTTGCCGATGACACAAAGGTTGGTGGAGTTGTGGATAGCGTGGAGGGCATTTGTAGGTTGCAACGGGACATTGGCAGGATGCAGAGCTGGCCAAAGAAGTGGCAGATGGAATTCAACCCAGAAAAGTGTGAAGGGATTCATTTTGGAAGGTCGAATTTGAATGCAGAATACAGGGTTAATGGCAGGATTCTCGGCAGTGTGGAGGAACAGATGGATCTTGGGGTCCACGTCCATAGATCCCTCAGAGTTGTTACCCAAGTTGATAGGGTTGTAAAGAAGGCGTATGGTGTGTTGGCTTTCATTGGCAGGGGAATTGAGTTCAAGAGCCATGAGATTATGCTACAGCTCTATAAAGCTCTGGTTAGACCACACTTGGAATATTCTGTTGAGTTCTGGTCACCTCATTATAGGAAAGATGTGGAAGCTTTCGAGAGGAGGAGGAGATTTACCAGGATGCTGCCTGGACTGGAGGGCAGGTCTTATGAGGAAAGGTTGAGGGAGCTAGGGCCTTTCTCATTGGAGCAAAGAAGGATGAGAGGCGACTTGATAGAGGTGTACAAGATGATGAGAGATATAGATAGATTGGATAGCCAGAGACATTTTCCCAGGGTGGAAATGACTATTACGAGGGAGCATAATTTTAAGGTGATTGGAAGAAGGTATAGGGGAGACGTCAGAGGTAGGTTCTTCACACAGAGAGTGGTGGGCGTGTGGAATGCGCTGCCAGCAGTGGTAGTGGAGTCAGATAGTTTAGAGACTTTTAAGCGACTCTTGGATAGGCACATGGAGGATAGTAAAATGTATGGTATGCAGGGTAGATTGATCTTAGTAGGATAATAGGCAGCACAATATTGTGGGCCCAAGGGCCTGTACTGTGCTGTACTGTTCTGTGTCCTGAAGTGGTAAAAATGACGGTTACTCTATCGAATGTAGTCACAGCCCAGCTGATCAAGGAGGAAGGAGAAAAACAGGGAGAACAGTAAAGGTTAGAAAGTCAGCAGTGAGGTGTGCAGACACGGACATGACTCCAGGATAATGTCTTCCTGGAGCCAGAGTCCAGGATGTCACTAGACACATGCTAGTGAATATAGCAATAGGCAGCTAAAACAAATGAATGGATGAAGAGTTGATACAGGAGGAAGGGCTTTAGATTTCTGGATCAATGGGCTGGGAAGTAGGGGAATGGGGTGCAATAGAACATAGAACAGTACAGTACAGGAAGAGGCCCTTCGGCCCACAATGTTGTGTCAAATATGACACCAAATTAAACTAATCCCTTCTGTCTTCCCTTCATCCGTGACCGTCCATTCCTAGCATATTCATGGGCTTATCTAAATGTCCCTTAATCGCCCTTATTGTATCTGCCTCCACCATCACCCTGGCAGCATGTTCCACATTCCTACAAATCTCTGTGTAAAAAACTTGCCCTTCACATCTCCTTTGAACGTTCCCCCTCTCGCTTTAAATGCATGCTCCCAAGTATT